TGTGAAGCGGACAGTAGTGAGTTCGGTTCTCAGAGTGAATATCAACTCTGAGATTCAGGCACATCTAGCTCACGAGTCCTTAGTAGGGAAAAAACGCGAGTTCTGGATTCCGTTGCTAGTCACCAGCGTTGCTTATAATGCTTGTGACTTAAGATAATGTCGAGGCAATCCGCACACGCTGAACATATGATAATAAGAGACTGATCATATATATTCACTCGAGGTCTATTGGAAGTAATTTTGACATTTATCTTATGTATAACACTCCAAATGTTAAGAAAAATCGCCTTATTGGTATGACTAATGCGGTTTATAAAATAGAGGAATCGTAGTAAGCGGTGGAATTCAAGATGCGCTTTTTATTGCCGTATAGGACTTGTGAGCTGGTTGCAACTGGATCATAATATTATTATTTATACTGAGATTCGAATGAAGTACTTTGCTCTCCAAACTACCAAAACTTTATTTACTAAGCTACTGTGTCTAGATAACTATTTATACATTAAGTTTGATGTCATTGTTAGAAAGCGTTTAAATTATTCCCACTGTTGGCATTTTCGATTGAACTTGAAGTGGTCTTTATTAGTAAATGTTTATTCTTTGTGGATCCCTTTGATGTATTCACTTTTTCTAAGTCTTTATAGAATAGATGGATTATTAATAGTAGTGGAGTCCGGTAAATCAAAGGATAACACACGGAATGTTTTAAGTAAAAATTATTATATTTGAATTCTGGTGTAAACATGAACATTGTGATCGAGATACACCCAGCTAGTGGAACCTACACACGATGGGAATAGGATCCTGTATCCTAAATATAGGCACAGTTCATCTATTTTATAGAAAAGCTCGGAAAATAACGAGCGTGTACAGAGTGTCAGCACATGATGTACATATCCCAACATGGACTAATCAAAATTCAATTAAGAATATTAACATAGACATTACTACTGTTATTGCCATTCTACATCAGATTATAAAATAATATAATATAGTCATTTTGTGTCAAGTTACTACGCAATTTTTCGTTACATGACTTTGGCTACTGAAACACCTAGCACACTAAACTCTTGATCAACTGTTTCTTTTCAGCTTATAGTTCCAGAGAATCATATATATGCATGGCCTCATATAAGATATCCAATCCCAGCTAACATTAAAACCCTTTAATGAGTATAATACAGTAATATGATGCCAGAGATCTATGACCTTAGATTTTAGTCAACTTCTATTTTCTACTTCCCTAAATGATTTCCATGGATATTTTACTTTTATAATATACAACTAATAAATTCCACATGATAAACTCAATAAGTAATGAAAGAGAAAAATTATAAAAAATTATGAATGTTCTATATTGTTTATCTTCATATATATGTATATTATTATTTGAGTATCTAAGTAAACCGTAATCGGTAAATTCAATGACTGAAACATAAAAATACAAAAAAATTTTTTTTAGAAAAAAAGCGCTCATATTGAATTCATTCAAGTGTATTCACATCATGTTTATGTATAGTTTCCATGTGAAATATTAGCCTAATACATACTGAAATTGTTTCCATAAAAACTACTCTTAACTATATATATACTTTAATGTATTTAATTCATATTGTTTAATAATTCATTATAAGCCTCTATTTCGTATAGTTGGGAATAGTTGGGGAAAACATTAAAACAAACATAATTGGTTGTTGTTGGTGTTGTTGTTTGTTTGTTTGTTTGAATGAATGAAGGAATGAATGAATGAATGAATGGATATGTATAAATAAAGGTAAATGAATGAATATAAAGGTAAATTTATTCGATTCATCGGAAGTATGAAATAAATTTTTTTTTTTAATATTGAATAGTTTTCTTCTTTTTCTTTTTCTTTTTATAAAAAAAGCATCACATTGATATCAAATTCGGTGTTTTATGTTGTTTATTGTTTTTCTTTTTAAAAGAAAGAGAGAAAAAAAAGGCGGAAAAGATAATGGTTAATGGATAGGAAATTTGGAATAAATTCATTTTTTTTTTCATATAATTGAATATTGTCACCGTTGTAAACAATGTAGATTGATTTATTTAAATAGTTTTAGCATTGATTAAAAATTCCGTATCTTATCATTTCTGTTGGTGTTTATGTCACTTTACAATATGATCTGTCTGAGCTGATGATATGAGCGAACTATGTATTCGATCATCATTATCTCCGGAAGACTTTTGATATTTAGTGATAATGCCATGTTAGTAATGCAAAGATTCAACAGTGTGTGTGTGTGTTCAGCGACAGTGACGATAATGCAATTGATGTCATCGACGTTCATGTTAAAGATCTTCATAACACTTTGTAATAACTATAATCAACTGCTTAGTAATAATTAATATGTCTGAAATAAAAATGTTGTCTACAGTGAGATGAATAATGACCATTGAATATCAACACAGTGATTTTAATGATTAAGCGTTCACAATGAGTTCTGATGATTGTTGGTTCAATCTGTAGTAGGTTAGTGAATTTGTATTGATATTGGCAGACCACAACAAGAAGATGTGAAGGTGGGGAGATAGAGAATGAGAGTTTTTAAAAAAATACTAGCAGAAGCAGATCAGTTAAGAAAGGATCTTTTCAGTTAAACAGGTTCTTCTCATTTATATGAAAAACATAGAAGGAAGTTACAACACGATCGCCACTGGCTTCTAGTCCGAGTAACGTCTCGTAACGTCTCAAGACACTAAGTTGCACTATCTCTAGGATCAAAACCATGGAGTTGTGAAGGATAGATAGATACCAGTGCTGTACACTTTTCCCTTATACCATGACGCCATGTCATACACCGACGATCTAATCATTTTTCTAACCAGTCCCAGTGTAGTTAAATAAATTCACTATATTATATTCAGTGAGCTGATGTTCGCAACAGTTATCCAATTCATAGAAGTCGTCGTTTCATGACAGTGGCACCAATTGCATTATCGTCACTGTCACTGAACACACACACGCAGTCGAATCTCTGCATTACTGATATGCATTACCACTGAATGTTAACAGTCTTTCGTAGACAATGATGATCGATTACAGAGTTGATTCACATCCTCCGCTCGAGGTGGTCGGATTTCACCAACACGCAACAGAACTGATCTCAGTGATGAACTGTACACCCAACCTCATGCAGACAGATGGACCTCACGAAGGCTAAAAATCTGGCTCAGGCTTACACAAGTCACTGTGTTCCGGATCGATATAAGCTGTTCTGGCTTTCACTAGGCGTAGATTAATCTCATCACAGAATCCACCACCATCACTTACAGACCGACCAAAATACACGGACTACTCAACCACTTCTAACTGCTCACCAACAAGGGCGATCTTGGGCACATACCTCTTCCAGTCTTGCTAGCGTACTGTGCTCTGAGAATGTGCAAGCACATGCCACATCCTCAGATACTGATGGTCAACTGATTAAATGCTAATCGCTTTGCTCGGGAATCATCGCACAATAAGACAACTTCATCCACATACTCAAAATCGAAAAGTCTCCATTTAACAGATGCACACCACCACTTACTACGTCTATCTGAGCTGTTTCCTGAATGTCATCAATTGTATATTTGAAGAGGAACAGAGGGATTGGATAACCCTGTCTAGACCCACTGCTCGAATGGAACAGTGAACAGTTGCGCTTGCACATCCTTACTATGTCTGGAGTGTCTGTTTACAGGGACTTCTACATGTTAACAAAACGTCCCAGACACACCCTTGTTCTACAGACAATCACAGAGAACGGTCCTGTTAAACAAATCGAATGCGGTCCTGACATCAAGACACACAACAATTGTTGGCCTGTGAAGCATGACAGGAGTCAATAGTTTGTATGCAACTACAAGTAGACCTATCCATTCATAGCTGTCAGCCATCATGGAGGGTGTTATTGATTAGTGTTCCATCAGCTTCATAGATTACTTCACTCACACAAGACATCGTGCGGCCATTGCTTCGGATGAGTCGAGAGGTAGTCTACCAGTTATCAGACGCAGATGCAATTTCTAACTCCCTAGCACGCTCTAACCACCAGGGTTCTCGATGCTGATGTTAACTCTGTACAATTTCATTTTGTAAGAATCTACGTATATGATTAAACTGGCGATTGATAAGCATAGATCGACTTGTTTCAAGAAAATTTAAGGAGAGTGAAGAAATTCAGTGTTTATAGTTGGGACGTTTCACGAAGCCACAGATAACTTCACTCTCCATTTTCACGACATCGTGTAAATGTAGTCAGTTTTCATCTATAATTCTCAGTGTGTTGATATCTAACGTTGAATATACCTCGGTTTGTTTGCAATGGAATTCACCGCTGTGAAATGATAAAATATCAAATATATATCTATCTAACTGTGAACTAGTTATTTTCATATTTACCTTTGTGACATTCACTCATAGAAATTATCAGATAAATGTAACAGGCTTTTTATAAATCATTTCTATATTAAGTTCATCAGCTATATATCAATCCCTCATTTATAATTAACTAAACTCTGAATTGAAATTTAGCCATGATTTTTTATTCTATTCAGGTTGTTTTTTAAACTATAGTTTGTGTCATCTTTTTTTAAATGACCTGAAATTCAATTTACTCTAGTAGAATATAAACAATATTACTCTACTAGAGTAAATAACGTTGACCTTTATGATTATTCTTAATTTCTAATGTATCCTGTCCTTAAAAGGGAAACTTAAACTTTTTAGTGACTTTATATTTACAAAAAAAGAATCCAAAATCCAACATCGACGCAATATCCTTTTGATATTTTGATAAGATGAAATATTTCCCTGAACTTACCAAGTTTTCATCAGTATATCTCGCTAATTGTGTATGGAATACACGAAAAATTTCGTTTGAATTATTTGCCTACCTTTACAATATATCAGTAGTATATATTTTATAAAAACATAAAAATTACTACATTTAAATATTGTGACCATTGATCAATATGTATACTGCTTTTTTCTTTAGATGGCAAGACCATTACAAGTAAAAACTGCTGATATGGAACGTCGTACAGGTCCGTGGTTTACTCATCTGTTGTACTTATTCATATACATGTTGTTATTTGATTATAAAAAACTTTTGTTGTACATTGATTGTCTGTTTGTATATATTCTGTAATAATAATTGATATGAATGTTGTTTATTGTCGTAATTTTAATTTACTTTCTATCAAAAACAAACAAACATAATAAACGTTAAATGTTGTATTGTGTCGTATACATCATCGTTATATAAACTTTAACAAGTGAAAATGTTTATGGTTATAATTTACTGTTAGCCGGAATTTTGTCCGACTTAAACGATGATAATAGTGAGTTATTTTCACAGATCCGGTTAGGTCTATAAAAAAATATGTAGACATAAACTAACTACTTTATGGATACCAGAGCATATCAATAAAGTCATGATAAATATGTCATTGATTCCAAGTGAATTTATTTTCACCACGGACTGATATGTAATTGAGACTCGTTGATAGCCAAGAAGAAGTGAACATAGCTATTTCAAAACTATTTGGGTCTTCTTGGGTCTATTCGGGTATAACAGTATATATGGATGGTGATAGTTGAGTATTAACAAATATAATATCATGAATTCATTTAAAATGAGAACATCAGCCATTGGATATCAATGCAAAATCTAGCTCTTTACAAAACTTAACATTTCTTAGTCTGATACAGTATGAATTTATCAATATGAGTTGTTGAAATGTCTTTACATTCAGACAAAAGGCTCATCTAGTTGATCGTGATTTTTTTCGAAATAGTTATACAATTTTTTTCCAGATCTAGGCTAAAAGTGGAATTCAAGATTCATACTTCGTTTTTATATGGAACTCGACAGCTCTTCATGCCAACTTACTGGTATGATGATCTTACTATAATTTGCGAATAATGCCGATGGTCTTAAAAACCAACATGTTATTCAACAAATTTCTGAGTCTCCAGGTATCCACTAAATCTTTCGGCGGGTATAAACCTGTTACGTTGGATCCTTCATACGGACTGTGTGGCTTACACCAATTAATCGTTTCATACTAGGACAAAACAACCGTAGATTGCTCTTCATCTTATAGATTTGTCTAGCTTTAATCAGTTTATGGTATAAATTACTATTAATTGTAAATCACTTAACTGCTTCACTTTAAACTATGCATCATATCTGATATTCTGCTTTGTTTTTATAATTTATATGTTTGCGGTAAGAATCTGTAACACTGAAAAAATTATTAAAAGAAATTTCCAAAATCGACAAACCATTATTATTTTAATAGTTGAGATCATGAGGCAATTGAATCTAGACCACCATGGAAAGCCTAGAAGCACTGGACGGCCGTTTTGTCCTATTGTAGGGCTCGACAGCAATGCTCATCCACGATTCCGCCGAGGACCTATCAGTCTCTTGAGCGAACGCTTAACCTCTAGACCACTGAACCATTTACTTATTATTACTTGACTACATCTCTAAAAAAATTGCAATTTCTTTCATGATCAGACCACATATAGGTCGGATATATAATTAAAACCATGCTCTAGTACTGTGCTGTACATATGTAAACTGTAAAAACGTTTCGAGTTTCTAATCATAGATATAGATGAATGGACATATAAAAATATTTTCAAAAATATAGAAGCTACTAGTCAATTTTGTAAGTAACATAATTAGGTTTTCATAAGTTAAGCTCATGATAGAATTATATCACTGATTTCAAAATAGACTGGAGAGAATTGTTTGTAGAATAAAATTGATTACAGGTCAATCTTTCAATAGAATGAAACCTCATAAGAAACGTAATAAGTTTTTAGATCATTTGAATTCGGATCCATCTGTTTATTACAACTAATGCAAATATTTATTTGTCTAGAAGGTGGTTTGAGGCAACCAATAGATAACCCAATGTAACGTAGGTTTGATGTTAAGGCTTATTTAGAATGATAGAAGGCTCTTTACTCCATAAGAAACCCGAAATGAATTATTTTAGTGATATAATCGGAATCATTTTCACACGAGCATAATGGGTAACGATTGTCCTGCTGTAAGAAGTGAATTTTTTGAGCTAATCGATAAATTAGCTCGAAACCTTGGTCTAGGGTTCGCCATCAACTTCTTGTAGTAGTTTAGCATCAAATAAACGTTCACTGACATTTTGAGTCAGTTAATCAATTGGATAAATTCCAAAACTGATTTTATGAGATTTAGTAAGTAACAAGGATTAGATGATCTTACACTGAATACTTTTCATGGATGGAAAATTCTGACACTCCTTAATATATCTATTCTATACCAAGTTTACAAAGCTTTAAATATGAAGCTGAGTGCTTATGAATATCTGATAAATAATAGTTTTGTGTTTAAATAAATATTCACAACTGATTATATTATTTTATTTGGTTATAAGTTATGCATGAAGTTTCGATTTTACCACTCATAGAATTAGTAGAAAAAGTGTACTTTCACTAAGATATATTTTAGTGACTCGGAGCTTGATTTCATGAACAGTTAGCAAGATGAATCTAAAGTATTGAGTTGAAATTGATATCCACGCTGAGGCTCGAACATGAGACACTTGGTTTCAGAATCTGAACTTTTCAAGTCAATGGTTAAGGCGGGTTCGAATACTTCAGTGATAACGAAATATAATTTCATGTATTTACATTCGAATTAAGCTCTGTTTAAAAGTTCCTTAATATTGTTCCCACTCTACCAAACTTGAAGTAAATAGATTATTTTTCGAACCTGTGATCAAGTCTTTGGAAGGTGTGCATTTTAGCTCCTAAAAAGAATTACTCAAGCATATAAAGTCAGGTTACAAAATCTTCTCTTAATCCAATAGCAGTACGCTCAAGATATATCGAATACATATAATTATCTCTCTAACTATTAGAGTTGACTAATCCAGTTAATATCCTTCTTTGAAACATGTGACTTAATTTGGTTTTAATTTTGTTGATTGTTATATTTAATTTAGCCCATTAAAACAAATGATTTATTTACTATTCATGTAAACTGACATAATGAAACGATGGATTGGATCATCTAAATGTCGAGATACATATGATTTTTTTATTTTCTATAGGGAAATTAAGCTGTTTTATGAAAGAAGTTAGTACACTACATTTACAAGAGTTTGATGATTATCTCATATGAAGAGATAAGTTGTGTTTATGTTTACTTGATAAGGCTTTTTATAACCTATAACAAAATAAATTGCTTAAAATATCCAACAATGAACCCTTACTCAACGATCTAAGTGTTTCATATTTGTTAAGAAATATGATACTCTTCCACTAGATTGGAGATGAACCCTTCTAAGTAGTCTGAAAATCAAACATAATATGTGTTATTGTTATCTTCTAGTTTTTATTAGACCTTCTTTATTTATTTTTATTTAAACTTATAAACATTGGTAGAAGAAGGCCACATAAATCATTCGATTTGTGTGAGGGTTAGGATTACTGCCTGGATGCCTAAACCGGATTAGGTAGTTTGCTAAGGGGGCCATGCCCTGAGCCTTAGACCTAAGTGTATAATTGACAAAGCAGTGGAGCAACGACAGTAGATGTAGTCCCATGGTAGCCGGTGACCAACAATTGGTTCATGCGCTATTTATTCCTTCAAGATCCTGAAACCCATTTGCACCATTCGTTTGGAAGCAAGAATTTCCAATTCCTGTAAGTGGATACTCTGTATCCACCATTCCGCTTAAAGCACCGGAAATTCGCTTTTCTTCCTCTCAATTTCGTAAACAACACACTCGCCACGAGAATGCAGTGATTAGGACTTCCCTGACAGTGGTTGTATGTCTGTGGCCATGTGAGAGCATGTGGAGAGAAAGAGCTGACTCTCCTCACTCTCGGCCATACTAGGCCATTTAGAGGTATTAGACCTTCTAGTTGATGCTCATTTATAAGTGAACTGAAAGAAAAAAATAACATTCATTTTGTATTACATACTAATAACATCATGATTTTATTGGGGGATCAAATTAATTTTTCATCCTAAACGGTATACTTTTTCACTAAACGTTTTTATCTTTACTTTTTTCCATTTAATTCATGACCTTTCAGTTTACTAAATGACAGATAACAATCTGCTAATGATTTGAGTGACAAACAAAACAGTATTCTTAAAATAGTCTACAATAATCAATTGTTGCCTTAATTAAATCAATAACTTAGTATCGCAGATATATATATATATATATATATATATATATATATATATATATATATATATATTATTGACAAAATGTGGACACAACGTTAACTTTTTAACCCAAGTCAGTTAGTATAGATGCTTATAGGCCGGGTGAAACTGTGAACACATATTCTCCAAACTCTAACTTGATAAAAATTCAATGCTTTACTACTCAGGTTTTATAGACTTACAGACACGTATATGTATCCTGGTGGAGATTTTGTATATTGTAGTCCTAGATATATATTGATATGCTTGTATTAAACTCTATTTGGATTGGTTAAAAAGATTGTCTACGATGGAAATATTCTCTTCTATCCCCTTTTTCTTTAATCAATGAATATATAGAAATAGGATTCAAAAAAGGGAATAACTCTTTCTCTTAATTCTCTTCTCAAGCATTTATTGATGAGTCTGTATTAAGCCTAGATCATTCGTCTATTAATCTGTTTAGATGAAATAGGCTCAAATAGGAGAATATATATATGTGGGCTGACAGTCTGTTTATCTACATTCATCTCTATTTTAATATCAATAAAATAAGCAATTGGTCTGTTTTGATATATAATAAATATAAATATCCCCACGGGAAGATAAGACTCATTGAGTTAGAAGGCGTGAGAGAAGAAAGAGACAGTAAATCAATAAACAATCCTCCCTCTCATATAAACATCTGTGTTATTTTAATAATAGTAATGATAATATAAGTATTCCATTTTCTATTGTATCAAACTAAATTGATTAGAGTATCTTAATACCCTAATTTGTATATACATATATATACATAAATTATTCATATTTGTACAGATGAACTCG